AATGTAGTTTGGTAGTAAGTGAGTGTTTACATAATCTAGTGTTTTTCCTAATGCCTTTGACGTGTTTATTTTTGGTATTCGTGGTCTTTGTGTGGGATCTGTACCAGTATATTTAATGAGTGTTTCCTGGAATATAAGTGAGAGCGTATTAACTAATTCTATGTCTACGTTATCAGTGATGGATGGGGAAGTGCCTGCAGTATCATTAGTGGTACTTGTTGTGTGTGTGCTGTAATCAGTGCTTGTTGCTGGATTATCCTGACAGGTTACGTGATCTTCATTAATGTTAAATGTTTCTGTCTGTTGATGTATTTGATCAGCAACCTGTTGTTTGATAAGTTCAAGTGTTGTTTGTGGGATAAGGTTGTTGTGTATAATTGTTCGTTTTTGATCAACAACCCTTTGTTCGGTGACAGTGAGGTGAGGATATTGTTGTGTGAATATATGGTGTAGTTGTTGTCTGTATGCTGTCATGTTTGTTTCGAGTCTTGTGATGGTGTAGTAAGTGCGGATGATAAACTCGTTCATTTCTGTTGTCCATTTCATCCGTTGGCGTGGTTTTCCAGCCTTTGTGGTCTGTGGATGCATTGCCACAGAAACACCAAGGCTAGGTTGATTCCTCACATCTGTTGAGGGCATTGCAGTAGCCATGCTTGGGCCGGCGCTGCTTTCGCCACCGGTAACCAAGGGAGACTGGAGCCTATTTTTCGAACGTGAGCCTCTGCCTAACGCACGAACGCGGACCTTGTTAACCCGGGCGACGTCCGAGCCGGTATCATACTTAGATCTGGTTACTACCATGATAAATATCTCCACAGAATGTGGGTGTGTGGTCACTCTTAGCTTCATTTCTCCCCATAGACCTTACTGGCATGGGTGTCCCTACCAGGAGCTTGTGCTCCACCCTGCATTGCCCTATGGATCTGTAAAACTACTGGGCTCTCCCACCACGACCAGGTGGTGACCATGGGAGAGTTATTATTATTATTATTATTTATTGTGAAATTTTGCCGCCCCTTAAAAAGTGCCGCCCGGGGTGGCCCGCCCCTGCCGCCCCCCTACGCTACGCTACTGTATGTACCTGTACCTATAATAAAACTTATATCTTAACTAAATTAAAAACCGGGACCTTACGTCATACTATATACAATGCATTTATAATACCCTAAAACCAATATATATACACCTATAAAACCAATATAAATAAAAAACTTAACCACCTCATACTCAAAAACAATCAGTTCATTCTCACTAGCAGTTTCAATAACCAACCTCCAATTACTTATGTTCGTACCAATGCCATGCATAGCAAGGATCAAATCAATATAAGAGCAACTTGTACCGGATGCAAAAGTCGTACCTACCTCTGGATCGTGTAAGACCACCAAGTCTCACTTAGCAATAGTTTCAACCAACCGATTGCCTCTTTCATCGGTTATCGTACTACCCCAGAGAGTAAACTTTGCATTATTGTCCAAAAACATGATAATATTCTCGCCACGAAGCTTCCCCAGGCAAGACTCTAATTCGTTCAAACTATTATCAATATCGATACTAGGAGAGAAATACATACTTATAACATATACCTTAATATCATCTCCCATGACTTGTTCAATCGCGCAGTTTGGGGATGATAGGCTTTGTATCGCTAATATTGCCCACTTCCTGTTGCATATTATAACAGTTGCCCAGGGCCGTGTCTACAAAATAATATAGTCTTCGTATAATAAAGTCGATCAATATATTATAAGACTATCCAAGTTTGTCTTATAATAAAGTCACTTTTAATCAGGAGACAAAGTTTAGTTGACAAAAGAAATTTTTATTCTCTATGCAACTGAACTTTATTTCCTGATTAAAACAGACTTAGTTTGAAGACAAACTCGGTTTGCCGTTTGATAGTCTTTAATTGGAACACCTGTAGGTTCTTCTGCATTTATATGATATAAAATCTGCCATTGTGATTTTACTTTCTAAATCGTAGTATATTCATCGTATAGTGTTATAACGATAATTTCACTATCAATCATTTTGAAGAAAATTGAATAGGGCTACCAGACCAAAACATTAATTTAAAAAAACATTATAATCCGGTAAACATTATAATCCAAACAAAGCAAAAAAAATTCTTCTGCAGAAAATATTTTGATAAATTATAGTTAGTAATACTTGTATGGTCAGTTAGTATAAAATATGTTTTTAATATTAGTAAAGTGCAATTGTTCGTTTTCCTTCCTAAATGGTATCCCATTTTATGTTTAGATTAGTGTTGTAACGAATAGTATATTCGGCCTCAGGCCGAATACCGAATATTCGGCCAGGAGCGTGGCTGAATAGCCGAATATTCGGCGAAACTATTCGGCTCGATTATCGCACGTATGAAAATTGGCGCGCAAACCGCATTATGGCAAGAACCCCGCTCTCTATTGGCTCGCTGTCACTACGCTTCGCCAATCGCGTTAATTCTTGACAGTTGAAGCGGACAGACAAGAGCGTCACGGCAGTATGTGATAAGTGATGATATCAAATGTGGATAACAATGAAATGTCCTACACGTGTAAATAACAAAGAAAGAACAGAGAAGGAGCGCGAAGTGAAAATGTGAAAATAAATATGAAATTGAGTCGATAACATAATCGAACAAGTCGAAGCAGCTTATTGGCGCGAAATTCGCGGCCGTCAATGCCAAACAATTGTTGTCATAGACTTCGGAAAGCTAAATGCTTGTAATGAAAGTTACTTAGCGGGCACGGGCGAAAGCCTGGGGTCGTTCGGGCTATCAAGCTGTCTCGAATCTGTGAAATCATAACTGTGACTTATACCGACGTCCTATCTGTCTCTTTTCTCCGTTATCACCAAGCTGAGTCACGTAATTGTAAAATGGGAACTCTACAACGGAAAAGTGACGAATCGAAAGTATCGTGAGCGCGTATTGCGCGTATTGTGCTCACGATACTTTCGATAGAGCGATAGAGAGCGATAGAGGAAAGAGAAAGGGAAGAGCAAAGACGAGCGCTTAAAAAAAAGGATAGGAAGGGTCAGACCCTCAGATGTGCGGGGATTCTCCAACGATAGACGTGTACGTGTGCTGATCTTTGTAATTATAAATTGTGAATACATGTGACTAATATTATTTTTTTTTTTATTTTGTGCATGTTACAAGTTATAAATAAACATAAACAAACAACACTAACTCTATAACATTAACTCTAAATACCAAAATGATTAATTTACTGTGTTTTTGTTGTTTATAACTCCTGTTTTTAGGTATTCGGTATTCGGCCGAATAGTGATTAAATATTCGGTATTCGGCCGAATAGTGAAAAATAGGCCGAATAGGCCGAATACCGAATAGTAACCGAATATTCGTTACATCACTAGTTTAGATATATTTGGCCGCTATATTCATAGTCATAATCTTTCTGCTCTTTTCCGTACTTCGATTCTTATTATTGAAACTTATTCTTCCTTTCCATTTCCTCTGTGTAAATTTTGTAAATCTTCATTAACTACCTTTGCATTTTATTGTTTCTTTCATCTATTTCAATATAATATGTACCAGTACCTTTCCTTAGTTCTTCCTGTCCTTTTCTTCTTCATCTAGTTTCATTTCATTCAATCTCACAAATGATATTTTAGTTATTACATCATACTGCAAACATACATTATACAGTAGTTATACAATATTAATATTATATTATGTTGCATATAGGCTAGTATATAACAGATTTTTACATAAAATTATATTAATATAAATTGTTATATTCTATATTATATATAAATTAGCATGAATTCGAAATTTAATCAAAATTATTGCAAATATAAATAAATTACTGAAATTCTTTAATCAGGAACATTACTAGAAAACTGTATCATTCTTCTACATAGTATGATGTATAATCACTTTAATCCGTGTCGGTTGATTTTCCCACAGCAACACTAAGCTATTGATACCTAGTCATATTAAAAAGATAATAAAATCTCAATTTATGAGTTATGCCACTGTTTTTGTCGGGATGCGATATACATGATGGAAAAGAAAGTCACTTAATGTACCGTACCTAAAGAATGTACAGTACATTGAGCACATCATGTAACGTGTATAACTCTGTAACAGTTCAAGGTAGGCCAATAAAATCTTCCAGCAATCAATTCCTTGTGAAATTCTGACCCTAAATTATGTGCCACATGATCCCCTTCCCAGTTACACTTTCGAAGTTGCATTCAATATGGCCGCCATCTTAATGGCGGCCTTATGAGTAACACACATCAATCTGTTTCTCCCCTTGGTCTAATGTGTTCCTGACATCAGCGTATTAACTTTGGGTACATTCTATATCCTGTAGCAGGGGTGTTATGCGACTTCTTTCTCACCATATATATATGTTTTATGACCTTTCGAAACGACAAGACCCTAGTCACGCTCCTGTTGGGTAATCGGTCAATGCAGAAAGTTCATAAAAACACGAGAAACACCATTATACCGACTACTTCTAGATCGAGTCACTAGCGACTAGATCGAGTCACGCTGAGCGGTTCGTTAAGTCTATCGCATGTTTAACAAGCAAAAGCTTTGGAGGCGAATATCCTGCAAAGGTCACAATTAGAAATATAAATCCTTTGACGTTTTTAGTCGGTTTAGTCTAAATTTAAAATTTATTATCATTCAGAATTCCAATTTTAGCCAATTGCTCAATTCTAAAAAAACCCAAAACTAAAATAAATGACAAAACTAACCTTTGATCTATGCTTCATACAGTATATTCGTCTGCACACTAAAACACATCTATGTATTGCTATAATGCAAGTCCAATTTGGCTTCTGGCACTCTTAAAATGACTTCATTTCATTACTTTTTTGAAAAAAGTAAAAAACCTTATTCATGCAGAATAAGAACAGCATCTTCTTTCAAAAAGACGATTAAAATAGGTAACAAAAACATTATTCTCCTCAATAGCATACCTAACCGGAAAAAATGAAATAATGGACTAATTTCATAGGGATAGTTAACAGTGGCAAAAATTTGCATAAAAAATAAACTTAGGTTTAATATTAATACTTTTGGTACATATTTTATTTAGTCTTGTCAATCCATCGTCTTTCTTTCATACAATGATTAATATGGAGTGTGCAGCTAATATAGGCTATTACTCCGAGAGAGCGAGATTATGGACGCATTAGCCGGTGTCTGATAAGCCGGCGTATAGATAGAATGGCCATACGCGCGCGGGGGAAATAATATCTTCCGGGAGGTCTTGTAAGGGAATATGGCACCTAATTCAGGCCTTACAGAAAACCTAGAAAACTCCATGTGGCCAGCCCGTCCGAGCGAGACGCGAATCCACGACCGAACTCCCAGTGTTCAAGGACGAAGACCGCTTGGCCATTGGTGGGCCATTCCGTCATCTAAGATAATCTGAAAGTTAAAAAATTCTATTATCGAATGATGCGTAGACTATGATTTGAATGGACTGTATAAATATACACAGTGTAGTCTATTCAAAGTATTTACATACAAATACAACATTTTGACTTTAAAAAAGTCGGAATGTTGAACTTGACTCTTCTAAAAATTATAAATAAGACTATGCAAATTATCTTACTGTGGGATTACAATTCAAAATACCAAATTAATTTTATTTGCAGGATAACGAAATAAATCAAGTTAAACAGTTTCATTTTACAACATGGACACAAAAGAGAATTCCTCTATATACGTCATCTGTATTAATTTTCATTGGGAAAATACGTGATTTTCAACCTCCAAATCAAGGCCCAATTATAGTACATTCTAGGTAAACTATTTAAATATTAATCAAGTATTGGCAAACTACCTGTACATCAAATATAATCAAATACTATAGGTAATACTATATAAAATAACTTTTGTAGTGCTGGAATTGGTCGTACGGGGGCATTCATCCTTCTAGATTACATGATGGACATGATACAATGGGAAGAACATGTCAATCTTCCAAAATGCGTACGAGAAATGAGACATCAAAGAATGAACATGGTGGAAACCGCTGTAAGTAAATCTTGTTATATTATATAAAACTGTAGTCTTAATATCACTATATTTTTGTTTATTTTTATCAGGAACAGTATATATTCATTTATGAGACGATCCTAGATGCACTATGGCCTTTCAATACCTCCATACCTCCCAAAGATTTCCGGAAACGGTTGTGTGAATTAAAGTCAGTGGATCCATACACAGGTCTTACTTATATAGAAAACGAATTCAAAGTAAATTAATATTGATTAACTATAATAATGAAATATTATTTATATTCATCGATGACATAAAAACTATGCTTTTAACTTTTAAAACTGTGCTCCAAATTTTATAGAAAAAGTTGTTTAAAAAATTTTTTTCCAGAGACTGAATCGAATGTATCCTTGTTCTACAGGTTAAACAATCAATTCATTTTTTATCTTTTTAAAGTATGCACTAAATTTATATTCTGGAATGTCATTACAGAAAATTTATTCAACACATTTTCATCATTCGAATCTATCAAAAGAAGTAATATGGGTTCTCTGCATGTAGATGTGAGTTAAATGATTTAATGCGAAAAATTAGATTTTTTATATTGAATAATCTAATTTTCCGTATTATATTAAATATAACCCTGCTAGATAAGTTCAAAAATGTTAAAAAGAAACACTCTTGATCTTATCTTTGTAAGGTTATCGAAAAAAGAAAGCATTTGTTGTTTCTGCGATTCCACACTCTAACCAAACTAAGAGGTTTTGGAAGTTTGTTTGTGACACCGATTCGTTGACAGTTGTGCTGTTAAATGACCTAGATTCAGTCCTACATCAAGTGAGTAACATTGATAATTAGTCGGAATTTTTATCACTAATTCTGTCGATATATATATATACATATATTTAATATTTTTTTTTTAATTACATGAAGGGTTTTCATAGATATTGGCCTAGAGAAGGCACTATTGTCGATTTTGGGCAATTTTCTTTGGAATATATGAGCAGAGAAATCAACCAAGATTTAATAATAAGAAATTTTAAATGCGTATGTAACGAGGATAAGGTAAATAATAATTTTTATGCCAATCAAGAGTGTTTAGTCGTCTAATACCTTCGCAGTTTAACATAAACTTTATTTTATGTAGTGTTTTTAAATTTTTGTTATGTATTAACGTTTTTATATGATGCAAATGAATTTTAATTGGATTATTTTTATTTATCATAATGTGTGCTCTGTAGCAAATAATTAAGAAATTTTCAGATAAGCATTGTAAATATTCATATTCTTTCAACTAATTTTTTAATTTTCTGTGACCAAAAATTATCAAATAAAAGAAATCGAGAAGTAAAAATAATTTAAATTCGAAATTTTCATTTGTTATATTAAAATTTTTCAACACTGAAAATCTGAAAAATTGAAATATTTTCAGATTTTATATTTATAACATTATTTTATTTTATTTTTATTTTTATGCCATTCGGGTGGCCAAGGCGATTAAGGCGTCAGCCTGCCCGTCTGAGGGACCCGAAATCGGACTTCGGATGAGCCACCCCAGGAAATTTTTATGGACGGGCCATTCCGGATATGTCGTACCCCGACCGTCACCACCCGGCTTGGCTGGACCCATAGAGAGGATAGTAAAAAAAAATAATACATTTTTCATCTTTTACAATTATAGTTAGTGTTAAATAATGTAAAAATATTGATATATAACATATATTTTTTGTTAATTGTGCGACATGATTCTATAATAAGTTATAATTCGAATGAAATGCAATCTCAAAATATATTTTATATTGTATTGTTTTTTTTATAACTCCTTCCGCCCTGTGGGCACTAATAAGACCTCTTCTTAGCAATCCCACTATGGGTTCGGCCAGGCCCACAATGGGGCGGCCGGGTGGTGAAGGACAGGGCCCGACATATCCGGACGGACTACCCCCCCGAAAAATTCCTGGAGTTTTATCGAACCGTCCGGACTCGAACCCGGAGTCCCCAGAGCGGTGGGCTGCCATCTTGACCGCTGGGCCATCCGGCCATCTTTTATATTGTACTGTAATTTCATTGTTAAATATTTTTGATAAATTAAAGAATAAGGTGAAAATAATCAAGCATTTCCATTTGTCTTCGTGGCGACCGGACCAAAGGATACCTTCTTCGGCGGATTGTTTAATAGATTTGATGGACAAGATGGAAAAGTGGCAGCAAGAAACTGTTAAACATCAAGTAGTTATTCAGTGTCTGTATGTAAACACATCATAATTAAATATTATGTTATCAAACAATTCTTTTTCAATCATATCTGTATTTTATTGAATGGTGAATTTTTTTTTCATTCAAAGAGATGGAGTTCGTGCATCTGGGATATTTGCTACATGCTATTTTATTTCTAACAAAATCAAATTTGAGCATGAAGTGGATGTATATTTGGCCGCCAAGACGGTCAGACAAGCATCTTCAAATTTCATCGAGTCCTTGGTAAGTTTGCTATTTTAAAACTATTTCCGGAATAAAAACTTTCAAACCATAAAATATAGCATTGTTTTATTTTTAATTCGCACGAATGGTTTAATATATTAAATCATTTATATCTATTGATATAACTTAAGTTTTTTGCTTCTGTTAAAATTTAACATTGAATTCAATTTTCATTCTAGGAGCAGTATACTTTCTGTTACCATTTTGCTGAATGTTTTATGGAGAAGTTTAAAGATTATGCAAATTTTTCGTAAAACTTACCGATATTGTAATTATTATTCGGTATACGAGATTTATATGTAATAATATAAATGTGATGTTGATTTCATCAACATTTGTAATATGATCGAATTAGAAAACTTCCTTGGGTAAATTTTTGATCAGTAAATTGCATTTATGTAATATAATTTTGAAAATTTATAAAAATTGTAAATTATTGGGATAACTGTTACTTTATTATTATTCTGTGTAATAAATGAGTACAAAATATTGGCAATGTTGAAATTATATTGTAATTAGAGTGGAGTACATTTATTTATTGCTATATATGTTATGTTAATATGTTGGTTGTTAAAATATAAAAATAAATTATTACTTACTTATAAAGAAGAATTTATCAATCTGTCAAGAATAATTTAAAATAAAAAAAATTCGAACATTTTTAATATTAGATGACACAATTTCTACGTTCTGTTAAAATATATTTATTAATTAAATATAAACTTGTGACACCCTGACCAGTACTACCCTGAGATACATTATTGAATTAAAATCGGGTTCGAATCTGATCTCATGACGATAGAATGATAAACTCGCTACAAGGTAATTTGGCCTACTTACATATATTAAAAACATTGATTATTCTATTGATCGCTGTTGGCGTTAACTCATTTTCGTGGTAACTGCTCTAAATCTCAGTTAAAAATACTTAATTGAATGAACCATATTGTAAAACAAGCTAGAAATCAAGTATAAACGTTGTGTCTTAAGATTTACTTCTCTGATTTTTGAGATAGTTTAAGGACATTATTATAGTTCATACTGAAAAAAGGCGATGAGTTTCATTTTTTAAAATTTTGATAAAAACTTTTTTCTGCATAAAATCACTTCAAAACATAAATTTAATTCTTCCTTTACCATAAAATCTTTAGGTAAATTTTAGAAAATGAATTAATATTTTATCATCAAATATTTTGGAAAACTTTCGACAGGACATTAACATTACCTCACATTTGATTGGCTAGACTCAATTTAAATGTATAACTCATATTACTTATGAAGTCCGTAAAATTTTGACTTGTTTCTCCTTTCCAAATATTATATAGATTCACAATGATATAGTTCCTAATTTAGAAAGTCAAACGCGAATTTAGAGGAAATTATGAATATAAAAATGTTAAATCTAAACATAGGAAAACATTCACAAAGTTTTCTATAAATCCAACATATATATAAATCATATAATTATTTTCTCATATTTTTATATTTTTATTTTTTCTTAAAAATTCATCTAAAAAATGTATTAATATATAAACGTCAATGAAAAACGATTTCTCATGAATAAATATAAAAATAATTTTCTGAAAAACTTGAATTCAATAAAAACGGAATTAATATGAGATTATTTCTAAACAAATATTTATTAATAAATGCAAAACCCATTACAATACATAAAAATTAAGTTTGATAAAAATTGGCTTCAAAAGTGAGTAAGATATCTATAATTATATCATACTGTAATATGATAATACTGTATAAAATATATAATCAATATGTAACAAAATATAAATAATCATATTTTAAGATATGTTTTTTCACATAAATTCAGACATAACAGTACATACATTTGGTAATAGTATGTCTATGTGTATATATATTTTACACTGTTAGTAATAATTCTATTATCAAATTTGCATGTATTTTATGATGTTACGAATTATTTGTTTGTATCTTGTGAATTTACTGAACACTTAAAGGATACTTTTTTGACAACTGACTTTAATATGATTTGTTTAAGTTCTGTAATGTTATATAAAATTTATAAATTTTTTTGTTATTAATTAAACATGTTAACATGGTCCTACTTATTTAAGTTATATCATTATCTAATTACAATTATGTATAACAATGTTTGTATTTTAATAATGATGCTACGAATTCTGTAACCCCTTTGTAAAGGCGAAAGCTAAAACAGATAAATGTTTGTTTGATTGATTGATTGATATTGTGCAAAATATAGTCTATAATATAAATTATAAAAAAATTATTATTTATATAAAGAATATAATATATAAAATCTGTTGAGAATCTGTATTTTGGTGTAACTAAATACATTTACGTTATTTTTAATGTATATACGTATTGAATACACAGACATAAAATCAAACACTTACCAGTTGGAAATACTCCATCTTGGATAATGAATAATTCATTTTCATCCGGCTTGAATAATTCATTCATAATGTATCTCGTATATATCTATATAAATGAATCAGAATTGAAAATAACTTGCAATCTGCACCATTTATAGATAAATTCGTAGAAATTACAGAAATTCTTACTTTCATCTACATTTCCTTATACATTTAAATTTATATTCGACCAGATATTAAATTAGAATACTTGACGTATAAAATCTAATAGGAAAAACTTATATTTTAAAGTATATTATTAATAAAGATATTTAAATCATTTCATTTTCTCCAAACTAGTGACGCAGTTGTATAAAAGCAGACGAACTTGACACCTTCTTACTGCCCCCTGCAATTTTAATTCGTTAATAAAAAATTTTTTAATTTTTTAGCGTATTTTTATTTGAATTTTTTTAATTATTATTAATATTATAAAATTGATAAACTGAAAAGAAAACTAATTAAATTTACTTTATTAATTAAGTAAGAAATGAAATATAGATTCTTTACATAGAGTGCTTCAACGACACTTCTCAATTACAATAAATTTTTAACGGCATTTGCTGGAAATTACGTGCTTAACCAAAAAGGCTACAACCCCCTTTAAACTGTCCCTATATATATATATATATCGCCACCACGGGTTTTCCGTCAAAAGTCTTCGAAAAACGATTCGTCCCATAGTAAATCGAAAGTATAAATCGTCAACTCATTTACCGCCATTCGCTAACCATGATGTAAGATAAGATAGTCATTTTCCATTCAAAATATTTCATATAAACTACTACAATTTTTTTGTCACAAACATTAAGGTAAACTATTATGGGAACGAGAGTTCCCAGCAATTTTAAAATGTGAGAAATAAAAAGTTTCGTCACTTTCCCAATTGACGGTTAGAGAGAGCTGGACACACATTCTATCAGTCAAATCTGAAACTGTTTAGATCTTTATCGTGCTCTGAATTTGGGTAAAGGACTGTAACAATCACAGTGTACAGTATAGCAAGACTATACTGTACACTGTGATTGTTATAATATTTTACCCAATGGAGAAGAAAATTGTCTTTATAATTAGTGAAAAGCAAAAACACACACAAAAAAAGAAAAAAAAATCTGTTCATATAGTGAAACACATCCATCCTGTTCTTAGTGACTTTTCTATTGTCTGGAAGAAAAATGTAAATAGACGGAACGATGGGAGATATTTTGAACCAAACAAGCAAGTGGATGACTAGAACCTGTAGAAAAATGAAAACTGGAAAATATGACGAACTTGAAAAAGCAGTACTGATATAGATTGCTCAAGTAAATGCAAAGAATTACACTGTCACGGATGATGTGATAAGAAAGCAAGCAGAAATATTTGGGCAGCAGACGAATATAAACAATTTTAGTTACAGCAATGGGTGGCTGCATTGGTTTAAACAGCGTCATGGCTTATCAGAACGAAAGAAACATGGTGAAACTGCTGAAGTTAATTTGGATTGTGTAGAAGAGAAAAAAACTAATTTGTCGACATAGAAAGGTATGATATGAAAGATGTTCATAACATGGATAAAACCGCTTTATTTTACCGATTACAACCTGATAAAACGATTGCCCGTGTACCTGTGAAAGGCTGCAACAATAATAAAGATAGAATCACAATTGCTTTTTGTTGTAATTCAGAGGTAGTGATAAGAGAAGGCGATTGTTACTGGAAGATTCGTAGAGCCTAGTTGTTTTAAAAATTTCGATCCTTCTATTTATTGCCATTACAAGAACAACAAAAAGGGAAGAATGACAGTCCTACTTTTTTACGAATTTGTTGAAGATTCAATAGGTATATGAAGAGAAAAAACCGTAATGCCCTGTTAATAATTGATAATGTAACCTGTCATAAGACAGTCAAACTGAGCAATGTGGAAATACAATTCTTTCCAGCAAATTACACAGGAGTTCTACAACCACATCAAGCTGGCATAATAAAAAGTATTAAATCTCACTGTACACGCTACCAAATAAGGAAAATTATCGAAAGCATCAATAATGAAATCCGTATTGAGATGACCTTGAAATTTGCACTTCGGCTAATTAAAAAATCGTGGCATGAAGTGACATCCTGGACAATAAACAGTTATCTAATCCATGTCAACTCATTGAATACATTTACCTCCATGACTCGAGGAAATAATGTAGTTCAATCTACTTTGGGCAGGTTGTTTTTTATAAGCAAAAAATAAAAAATAAAAAATAATAAATGTAATATAAATGGAGGGAAAGTGATAGTTATTCTTATTATTCTGTCATTCCTATTTGCATGCCGTTTTCGATAAACCGCCACCCTCACCTTTCCATCATGTACTGAAAAACAATGGTGGCAGTTTAAACTGTATATTTATGTTTATTATCAGTACTTACTTTTTAAGTTTTTTGATTGTTATTTTTTATTATTTATAGTTTTGTATTTTTTAGACTTAGCGCTATTGTACAAGTAATAAATGATAGCGTAAACTTGATTTTAGGCTTTTATGTGGACTAGCAAGCGTAAAATTTCCATTGAAAAAGCTTTAAATTTTTAACGGCATTTGCTGAAAATTACGTGCTTAACCAAAAAGGCTACAACCAGTCCTAAAGGCTGCTCTTATTTTCATATAACCTCTCTAAAACGGAAAAATTTTGCGGTCTGCAAATATTTGTTATAAATGTATAAAATGTTATTTTTTTCTTTTTGTAAATTTGGAAATAGTTATCTTTAATAGGTTCAGCAAGCATGCAGTAAATGCACATGGTCAGACATATCTAAAAAGCAACTCAAATTATTCCTATAAAGATCGAGTCGGGTTATATCCTCAGCGACAACGGTCGACGGTGATAACTAGAAACCGATTTTTTTACTTTTTATTCTAACAAAACTAAAAATAAAATTTTTCTTATATATGACAAAAGCAATTTATTTTTAAATCCGTGATTTTAATTCTAGATTTCTTCATGACCTTCATTTTTGAATAAATTCTATTTTGACTGTTTCATCTTCAAGGTGGCGCTTGTATCAAAAGTTAATTTCAGCTTAGGGTCGATAGAAGTTGATTTAAAAACAAGTTGGTAAGAGTGATCATGGGGTTAGTTTTTAGTCACGACCCTTTCGGCAATAATTTACGACCAAATGTGCGAGAAGAACCAACTTTTGATTCCCTTATGGGATTTCCTAATGGAAGAAAAGAAAGAGGTACTATTTTTTATTTAAAGAGCCTATTAAATCTCAATGTCTGCATTTTGTATGTAGCTCTTGAAATTTTTATATTTCTTTCTAATTAATTTGAAAGAATATTAGTTTTACAGGATTCGATGGTGTACCTAAGTAATGCATTGAGCACTGGTATATTCAGACATGTTAAGTATGCCTATAAAAGTTTGGATAATTCCTAAAATATTGTAATTGCAACTTTTTAAATATTTAAAAAGTTGCAATTGCAAACAAACATTTCATTTATAATGATTTTTGTTTTCTATTGGTATTTTGTTCAATTTGCTTATACTTTCAAATATAAACATTGACTGCATTCAGCAGTGTCATCAGTTGAAACTGAGAAAAGGTGTTTCACTCGATAGCTGTTACATGGTTACATCTGCTGAACAATGAGTGATGTATGCATAGGAGCAGGAAGCAGCCATCATTGGTTGGTTGCAGCTAGCAATAGGTAACATATATGAAAGACGCTACTAAACATGACATCAAAACACCAAACGTGCTCTGAAACAGTGCTATTGTAGAGGGCGTTTGGCAGAAAAATACTCAATGGCTCCGGAACTGTTGAGTCTGCTGAACGCCATCATTCTGTTATGAATAAAAGCAAAAACTATTTCCTAAATTAATTATTAAAGTACTTTCAATTATTATGTTCTATAATAAAATACAGTGGTGTCTCGTATAACGGACGCTGTGAACAACAGACTTTCTGTTTGGCCATTACGTGACTCGAGCAACAGACTGGCTGCGAACAACGGATTTTCTGTTCGGCAGTCACGTGAGGCAAACAACATTTCTGTGAACAAGTTGCGAATGATGTTTCCACTCTTGCCGTTGCCAATGACAATCTACTATTTTTAGAATATATTAGTATTATTAGAATATATTATATATCTGAAGTACAGAGCTCCCATTGGAATTCGGCTTGCTCCTTTGTTTATTACGTACACCACCTCAGTGCAAGGTATTCACATTTATTCAAGTGTTGTGCAAATTATTGCTTCTAAAAAACAAAAAGGTGATTTCAATTGAAACAAAGCAAGAAATCATCAGAAAGAGTGAAAGTTAATCAAGTAACTAACACCTTATTCATTGCCAAGGGAGTTTATTAAAAACTAACGTTTTCGATCTATGGAGTAGAAATAGAATAGAAATGGATCTATGGAGTGAAAGTTGACAAAAACTTCATTGTCAAATGGGGAGAGCTCAGGAGTTTACCAATACTCATTATCCAAACACAGCTGAGGCCAACAGGATCAATGATCTCTACAATGACACCCTTGCCCATCATTTCCAACAGGTGTTGAATAAGCGAGAGAAACAGACCACCTAGGACATGTTTTCAAGAAGCCAGCAGGGGGAAAAAAGGATGGAACAAGAGGAGTTGACCCTGCAAGCTCCGATAGCCTCTCCTGAATCTGACTTCGATTAAAAAACAATAAAAAGAGACCTACTGCAATGTGTAAAAAGTCTGTATCTGTATGAATGTGTGAAGAAAGTGTTCGTTCACCTCCTCCTCACAACATTTGACCACCCGGCATAATTGGAACTGCTCCATTTTCATTTTTTTTATGGTACAGTACGGTTATTTTATGCTGCAGAACAAATTATATGTTTTAACATGTATTTCTATGGGAAAATGCATTTCGTATAACGGACTCTTCACTTAATGGACATGCACTTGGAACGGATTAAATACGTTATTCGAGGCACCACTGTAGATCTCTTCCAATTCATTACAATACAGTTCATTCATTAATAAACCTTTCTAATGTATAATCTGAAAGTAATTTAGACTATTTAAACTATAGGCATGTACTACACTACCAAAGGCCTGCCTGTTCTTAGTCCTGGTATTTGTGTGATGACCCAAGTTCGTAACTTGCCACTAGAAGCACTTATCTGGCTGTTAATGTGATGTCAGCCTATGTAGAAAATGATTTTTTTATTCCTTTTTGCAAATCCAAAAAAGAGAAAATATCAAATATTTCTTTTCGTGAATTCTTTGAAGTACTGATATATGTGAAAAATAGATTTAAAATATTTTCAGAATGGGAGATTTTTCAATACTTATCTATATGCAGCTTATAGACATAAAAAATGCAATTTTTGTTTAAACTCTTGGGTATCTCTCACTGATTGTCAGTTATTTTGTAAAAATAAGGAATCAACATTTTTTCTAGGAATGATTTTAGCCCCAACAAACTATATGATATGAATAAAAAAGTTGTGTTACAGATGAACTACTCTATTTGCACAAAATGGTTTCAGATTTTTCTGAATTTCTGGATTGTCTAACTTCCCTTTTAAAAAATAGCAATATAATTGAAAAGGCAAAAGTGAAAGTTAATGCTAAAATTGTAAAAGTTGTCAAAAGAAAGATTCATATTTTATATCATATTGCATTGCTTCCTATCAATACCAGTGAGATGATGATAGCAATGAGGGAACCATTGGGCTCTATTATACACTGGAGTAACTCATTTTAAAATAATTATCATTAAAACAATTGTCAACAATGATGATTTAAATTTTATCTGATGTACCAATGCTCAATGCAGCAAACACAAACTCCCATCAAGCAGAAAATATCATTTTGCTTAGTTTGCCATTTTTCATAGTTTGTGTTAAATCAAAAAGCTTAATTGAGAACCACTTTTCATTGTTTGTACAACATTGTTAAACTAACAACAGCTTTACTAAAATGTTCGAAAGATGGAAGATCTCTTTGGAAACATTGGAAATTCAATGAGGTTCTGGGTAAGCAGTATTAAGAAGGTGGCAATTTTAATGGGTAAGCAGTTGTTACTCCAAGGAAATCTCTTGAAAAAAAAAGAGCCTATGGGAATTTTGAAAAATTTTGTTACTTATAAGCCTATTAAATCTGATAGACTTCTATGTTTGCTCGTTCTGAAATGTAGCCTCGTTGCCTTATTCATTATCCCTTTCAGAAAGTACTTTGATAGTTTGTTTTATTGTTTATGTAATATCAGCTTAAAAAATGAGGTCAAACATTTTTTATTGATAGGTTTGATGTTCCGATCCATTGCAAATGGAATGGTTCATCTGGATTCAAATTTTCAAAAGCCTTGAAACATTCAAAGTACAAACTATGTTCTATACTACATCTGTTGTTTAGCTTTACTATGAACAAAAGCTTTAATTTAAGTAACAATACATAACATACTGTAATTATTTGTAAGATAATTAAAGTACAGAGTTTTTATAATAATTATATAGGTATGTTATGTTATTAGGTAACTAACTGTCACATTTTATTATTATTAAAATTATTCCAGTTATGATTGCTACTGAGGAAGAATTAAAATCAGCTAAAATTCCTTTAGAAGACAGAGACTATTGTGCTCATTTATTACTGAAATATCGTGCCTGTAGAAGAGACCAGTTTCCATTTTTATATAGATGTGGACATGAAAAACATGAATATGAATATTGTGAACATGAAGAGTAAGTACCAAACTACTTCATACTTTTTAAATTACATTTCATCTAAAGATATTTTTTGTATTAGTTTCATTTTAAGAATGAAAGAATATGAACGAGAGAAAAGACTCTTGGCTCGAGCCGCTAAGAAAAGAGCCAAAGAAGAAAAGGAAATGATGAATGAAGAATAAATTTAGGAATAAATAGGCCAAGTTGAAATAGAAAAATTCTTTGTAGATTGCTAAAATTACCTGTACAGATCCTTATGAAAATAGTAAGTTTGGATAATAAATAATTTTATTTAAAAGTTTTATTTGTAAATATTCTTAAACTATACATACACAATTATATTTATATTAATTTTGTAATTGTTTTGTTGTTTTAAATACTGAAATATATTCAATATATTCATAATTTTGAAATATTGAAAATGTCATAATAGATTTGAGTTTTTTAATTATAACAATGAAATATTCTTTAAACTCAATGAATGCGAATGGCAAAATTAACAATGATGATGATCAACAGCTGACCAACAAATTACATTGTATGATTATTGTGGATAAAAAAGATGATTGATCAGACAAATGATCATATTGATGCTATTAGTCTTAAATTTTATTGCCTTATTCATTAACCTTTAATGCTAAGAATGCTTGTCATATTGACATGTCCTAAACATTTAGATGTCATATAGACTTTTGAAATTTTCAAACAACCAAACTAAACAATGTATTTAATTAAAGATTTCTAAAATAATCTAAAAATCATAAAGTAAGCCAATTTATAACCAAACCCGGTAAAATCAGTTTACAAATTTGTTATAAACTGATTTTTAATGACTAGACTTAAATTTTAAACTGAAATTGATTGGAATAATAATGTTCAGTCTATTCAATATAAATGCAGCTAGGAGATGAAACTTTGATGTGATATTGTGAATATGGGTGCTGAAATATTGGGGTACATGCCCTTCTATTTTTGTTTGGGTTGCTCTTTTTCTAATTCCCAAGGGGACTCCAAATTCCACAATCAACAAATAATAGAAAATGACTTCTATCCTATTCTGCAAATATAAAAGAAACTAATGAATGATATTTAACCATTGTCTCATGCAATTATTTTCATGTGCATTGTATATTGACAAAAACTGCATTCCTTGTTTTCAAGGCCAAGTTAGTCCTGAGTGTAACCAGAGTCATCTTGTGAGAGTGCTAATCCAACATTGAATCATAGAGTTTGAACAGGGCATCATACCTTAAGCTTCCTGCATAATGTATGATGTCCATTTTTATAGCTTGTGTCCCCTTTTTTATAGTCTGGGTGCTGAGATGATTGTCAAGATAACTTTTCTTAAAAGCACTTCCATTCTTATTTATCATTAGTTTCTAACTAGAAATGAGCAATTATTTATTGTGACATTGTCATGATGCCAGGCCTCAATTTTTAATCATATTTTTAATTTATTTAATTTAAAATATATGTTCTCCACCTCAAATTAGTAGTGTCTTGTCACTGTACATTATACTTTCTATCAGCAATAGAATCGTGCTGATCATCTAATGCCTTCAAGGAAAAAGTTTTAATTGAAATAATGTGTTCTAGTGCAAACCAGAAGTTCGTATATAATTAATTGAGCCTTCTGGACCTAAGCTTTCCATATCTGGTCTCAACTTTCATCTGTCTAACTCTGTTCTCGAGATTAAGGAAGGACAGTTAGACACAGACAGACAGCCAAAAGTGGGAATTTATAGGTCTACAATTTTTTCAAATTGCAGCCCAATTATTATTAATTTTCATTTGTTTTCCATATGTAAACTGATATAATTACTTTAATTTTGACTTAACTATTTGCTTCGTTATCAGAAGTATAACTTTGCACATCATACAATTTAATATAAAGAAAATAGTTAAGAATTTAAGATATAACTTTCATAACAATTTTTTGTAATAGCATTGTTTTAGATTATAAAAATCAGAAAGATCAAAAATCAAACTGATGCTAAATTAGTTTTAACCTTGATATGGCACCTTTCTAATCAGCTCCCATGAATATTCATGAATGGATTTTCATAAATATTAAGGGCCCTTTAATATGTGAATTACTAAATGTATGATTTCACATTGCAAATGATAATATAAGATAGCATGACTTTCAAACTCAAATTTGTGAGCAGACTGCATTACTATATATAATTTTTATTGCTTGAGCTACTTCAATTCAGTATCATTACTATCAATTTCAGAGATAGACAAATGGTGGAGCTGAATTGAAGTTGGATTGTACTGTAAAAAATTATTATAGAATAAAAAATGTTTTTAAGTACTTATCTGGATATCTTTATTAATTTACATTTACTGTTGGGAATCTGTAAAATAAAGTATTCTATATTTCACATACAAATAATCAACACACAGACACAAAACCATTTATCATCATATAGAGAACATGAAATTAATTTTATGGTTTTCCAGACATATCATAACAATTTGACATTTTGTTTCTCAGTGCTGACGATAAATTCATGTTTATATTGATTAACTAGCTTTTCTTTGTTTAAATTTCACCTTTAAATTTAATTTATCATTCAACAGACCAACAGACTTGAGTTAGTCAAGTTATCATCATGTAAACACTAATGAATTTGCAATACAGCAAGTCCCCACTTAATGTCATTTTATTTAATGTTGAGAAAAGATACATTTGTAATAAATTTACAATTGTTTAATGAATTTTCTTTATAAACACTAAAATTGATTCTACGAGATAGGAATTAAATGCTAGATTTTTGAAACACGGTCTAATAGGAAACTTAACTCTTGTTTATGCCATTTAGCTTATGATAAAATTAGTTTCCTTACACATATCGCAGGCCCACCAGTGGCTAAAACCACTGAGCATTGGTTTCAATCATTCCTTTGCACCTTGCCAACAGGTTGGCCAGGTGGAGTTTTCTGCATTTTATTTGAGTGTCTAATACCTGAATAGGGACCAATTTCCAATAGGAAATTGGTCCCTATTCAGGTATTAGACACTCAAATAAAAGTCTTCTCTCTCCCTTGGTAGATCACCAATGCATTGTGTTGATTTATTTCATCAATCCAATCCTTAACATTATAATTTTCAAGAACCTATCAAAGACCTTAAGTGAGGACTTGTTGTAATAGATGAAGTTTAATAAGTGTTTACATATTTATTAATTTATAACTACAAGAAATGAATTAATTACTACTAGTACCGGAAGAAATTAGGCTGCTTTTCAATTATTAGGCTACTTTGGCTGTGCAAACAAATACATGCTAAGTCATTTGAATTTTTTGAGCAAATGGTTTATCTGGTAAAATTAATCAGGTTTCTCAATGTGAAAAAAATTCCAAATCTACAAAGAAACATTTATTTACTAAATATGATTTTTCCAAATCTTTTGCATTCAAAAATTTAAAATCTAAGGACTGGATTCATAAACATCCCATACAGTATTTTAAATTACAATAAAATTTCTCGTAAGTTGTCAGATACGATAAATCACAGCCAGATGGCCAAGTAGTAAATGTGGTAGTCTACTGCTCTAGGAATTCGTGATCGAATCTGGACAGGTCGAAAACCCCAGGAATTTTTCGGAAATGATCCGTCGGGATGTGTTGGGCCCCGTCCCTCATCACTCAACCGTCCCATTGTGGGCCTGACCGACCCTAAAATGGCTTGCTTTAAAAGGTCCTCTCAGTGCCCATGGCAAAGAGTTTAAAAAACAAAACTACTATAGTGTAGATTTACTGTATTCAACATATTATCATCTCTTATTGAACATTTTGCTGCCCTTCTCACTTTGCTGCATGAGTCAGTGGCTTCGTCACCTCTCTCACTAAGTCAGTGGTGTTCGAGACAAATTGAATACAGACACCCCAATTATTCGGATACCCCGCGATATTTTAAATTGTCTGTTCAGAAAAGAAGAAAATTTTATCTGAATATGAGACATTATCTTTTTTGTTTACTTAGGATTGCCCGGTTTAATAGAACTTCGTTATTACTCTTTCTTGTGACAAAACCATTAAACTGACTTAAAACCATGGGCGTCTGTAGAAAGAGGCAAACAGAACACTTGCTCCTCCCTGGAATTCTGTAAAAAATTTCACAAATTATAATCGTAAAAGTGATTATGATATATTACACCTTGCCCTGTATTCTATATACTATACCCTGATAAGATACCTTACACCCTGCAATACTGTATTCTATAATCTACTTGTGGAAAACAACCAATTATTTGTCTCAAGCTTTACCCATTAGAAATTTTTTTCGGGCGCCTATGCATAAAACTAAGATGTCGTGACAAAATCAATATATTTTATATAACGTATTTGTTTGTTAGTGTGATTCAACTTCTACATACCATATACCTTTACATTAATCTGTTGTTGTTTTTATATTTCATTACAATGATAGAAATGTTGGATCATTATCAAACCTTCTCTGATTTCATCATTACAAACTTATTTTAATTGCACAATAAAAAAAAGTTAAATTAATTACGCATTACCAGAGTTTTAGTAAATTCGAACTCGTTTTAATCGTGAATCAGGAGTCACAGCAATGACTCCCGTGCTAAGTAAAAAATTCACTGACTGACTAAGTATACATGAATCAAAGTTGCCGATTTTCGGGAGACGATTTCTCCGCCCAGTAAATTGTTTATTACTGTAATACTAATAAATAATCATAATTTATAAAGCGCACTTAACAATAGGAAAAAATACGTTAGACGTTGAACTTTCAATTCAGCAATTTCAAAACACGTAACTTTTTATTTAATTCATAATTAATAATAATGAACAATTATTTCAGCAATAGATGGAGTATATAATTACTTGTATTACAGCAAATACATTACAGTATACGTTAGTATACAATTTATAATTATGATTTAAATGTTAAGAAGGTTCCATACATAAGCCAAATCAAGGCCATGTTCTTGCTAAGTCTGTAAATATGTAAAAACAAAGAATTCTTGCTAAGTCTAGTTATGCTGCGACGTTGAACTCGTTTCTACTGCTCGACTCCTCCCACCACCAGAAATCTAGCTAGTTCAGTCAGCTTCTTTTATCTATGCTAGCTTCTACTAGTGACGTCATTGTTTTGCCTTGCCGTACGATTTGCAAGATGGCTGCTCGTGTTAGACTAAACGTATTTTATTATAAGAATCACAAAGTTATTCTCTCATTCAAATCATTAACTCATTCTAAAATGACTTCGAAATGTAAAATTATCATACGTCGGTATAACAGATTTCGAATACATTTTACGGAGGAT